AATGGTAATTTTTAAACAATTAATAGTAAATGCTTTAATAAACTGTTATATAACAAATTGTTAACAATAAACTATCATATGTTATATAATAAACTATCATATAATACGCAGTTAATATTCATTTTTATTAAACTGTTAAATGTTAAAATTTAAACAATCTGATTGTAGAAAGTAGAAACGATTTAAATTATTATTTAGAATTGATTAAGTATCTGATTGGTTACTGGGTGGTCGTGGGTTGGGCGCTGGGTGGTGGCTGCCTCGTTGGGCGCTGGGTGGTCGCCGCCGGTCGCACAGCCCTGTTATGTTGTTACAGGGTTACAGGCTTATGTGGTTACAGGCTTGGTGCGAGAACAGGGTCCAAGAGCCCAAAAGGGCACTCTTTGTTGGATTGGTGCGAACACAATGTATGAACATAATCTAGCCTAGTGATGAAGAGAAATAATTAGTGGAGAAAGATGAATGCATGAAAGATGAGCTCTAGGCTTTATATACAAAAGGAGAAAGACAGAAAACCGACTCAAGAGTTGAGCAGCGTAACATAGCTAAAGCAGTGCTGACTGCTGAGAATAGAAAGTAATCCTTAAGACGGAACAGTAACTCAGTAAGGCATTTATAGGTGAAGGACTGAAGGCAGCAAGGCTTATTCCGAAGGCTGAATACAAAAACCCGTTCCAAAGAATCGTTTAGGTTATCTTAATGAGGAAGCCAAGGTACGTCAAAGATTTGATGTTACTTCTCCCGTTATGGCCGCTATATGCACCGCTAAAACATCCACGACAACTGCAACACTGAAGTTCTCCACAACAGAGACCCTACAGTGGCCAGCTCCATCTGCTATGAAGCTATCACACTATTTTTTAATACATGTCTTAAGCATGTTACTCCTAGATCACAACACACATTAATGTCCATTAATATGGCTAAATGAATAGCTGACAATGTTCAATTCAAAACGTCATCCTGAGTAAAGCTTGGAGCTTGAAATGTTCAATTAAACTGATATGTAACAGAAAAATAGAAATCAACGGGGTGAACCGTTGCCCAGATAATCAACGATAAAAATACCGTTGCCCAAAGCCAAAAGGCTAAACTCTAACTTTATTCCAAGATAATAAGAATGAACCCGGGCGAGGGGTATAAATAGCCTTCTACAAGAAACCCTAATCAAGCCCATATTAATTAAATCCTAATTAAGCCCAAATTAACTCAACTAACTACTCTACTAATAATAGGCCCAAACTAAAACATAACATTAACTTAATAATAATAATTAAACTATAACGACAGCCCTAACTCGGCCCACTGAAGTGGGCCTAAGCCCGGTCCCGCCCCATGCTCTTCCCGCTCTCTATCAATCCATCCTCCTTCAAAATAACCTTGTCCTCAAGGTTGAAAGCCGACAGATGGGGAGCTGAAATTCCCAGACATAGAATAGACTGGAAAATATCCTCTCTCTTTCCTGAACTCTTTCCTGGCCGGTTATTTCACAGTACTCATGTTGTTGGAGGTCTAACTCTTCCTCCTCCTCGGCTATCATTACCCGCAGCTGCTTAAAGGGACAGTCGTGCCCCGGTGTAAATGGTTTCTTACATCTAAAGCATAATCCTTTCGCCCTCAATTCTGCGAACTCCTTTGGCGGAAGACGAGTGAACTGAGAGCGTGTCGTAGGCTGCCCGGACAGCCCTGACTTCGTCCCCGGAGGCTGTCCACTATCCTTCGCAAAGCTGCCCCTTGATCCCTGCGAGCTGCCACCACTGGCAGTCAAAGGAGGACCCGTGTTTGCCATTAAAAAGCTGTTGGAACGTACCCCTGCAGAATTATAATTCGGGCTGCCACTTCCTCCACTTTGAACGGACAGATTATGCTCCACATCACGAGCTAATTCCATGGTTGTCTCCAGGTTTTCTGGCCGTAATAAGCGCAGCGAACTTCGGATTGCTTCCCCAAGTCCACTCATGTAGTAGCCCAAATAATGACCGTCGGTCAATCCTGGAACTTGGCTAGCCAATTGAATGAACAAGGTATTGTATTCCTCCACCGACCCAATTTGTTTGACGCCGGACAGCCGTTCAAACCTGTTTCCCTGATATCGGGAATCAAATCTGGCCACCAAGGCTTGCTTAAATTCCTCCCAAGATATGCCAGGTTTGCGCGCCTTTAACCACGTCACCCAATAGAGGGCAGCCCCTTCCATAGAAACCCTAGCCGCTGCAACTTGTCTGTCAGGTGGGGTCCTGTCGAGCTCGAACTGCTGCTCCACTCTCGCCAACCACCCAATTGGGTCTTCGCCATCGAACGAGGGAAATAGCGTTGTGGCTGCGGTGCGCAGTCCGCCATCATCGGAGAAGACAGATGCGACGTGGCCGAAGGAATCGCTCTCGATGGTCGCGATGGGAGATTTCTGCGGCGCCACCATGGCCTTCGCAATTGCTACAAGAGAGGCTGCGATTTCCGCAAGCTGGGTGGCCTGCTCTTCCGGTTTCTGACCTTGTGTGTCAAGTTTCTGTCCCTGCAGATCAAGTTTCTGTCCTTGCGTGTCAAGTTTTTGATTGATTAGGGCCTGTTCAGCCTCCAATTCTGATAAACGTTCGTTGGTTGATCTCGTCATTCCGACGAGACGGGATCCGGTAGGTCGGACCAATTGATATGTAACAGAAAAATAGAAATCAATGGGGTGAACCGTTGCCCAGATAATCAACGATAAAAATACCGTTGCCCAAAGCCAAAAGGCTAAACTCTAACTTTATTCCAAGATAATAAGAATGAACCCTGGTGAGGGGTATAAATAGCCTTCTACAAGAAACCCTAATCAAGCTCATATTAATTAAACCCTAATTAAGCCCAAATTAACTCAACTAACTACTCTACTAATAATAGGCCCAAACTAAAACATAACATTAACTTAATAATAATAATTAAACTATAACGACAGTCCTAACTCGGCCCACGGAAGTGGGCCCAAGCCTGGTCCCGCCTCATGCTCTTCCCGCTCTCTATCATAAACACGCTTAAAACAAAAATAAGAAAAAGCTATACTCAGGATACAATTATTCAAATCAATATTTTTAAACACATACTACATACACATAGCTCAGCACTCTGTACTCGATCTTTTTCATTTTGGCCAACTGGCCAAATATATACACCACCCCAAGGGTAGATTGCTTAAGATGGGAGTATAATATAAAGTGTCCTGACACCCACCAAGTATAGCCAATTTGGAGACAGGTTGGGACATTGATACTACAACTCTCCATCCTTTTAGCCTGGAGTATACTAATTACTACAAACTACTCTCTCTATCCGAGATTGTCTCGTTTTTCCTTTTTAGTCCGTCCCGCTAAGATTGTGTCATATCAAATTTGAGAATGCTTGTGTGAGTGTAAATCATTCTAACTTTACTCTAACTCTATCAATTCAATAACCACCACATAGACTCACTTTTCGTAATAATCATATCACCACGTTATGTAGCAAAGTTAGGGGCGGAGTTGGTAATAAATAGTCAATCATATAGGAGGATGTTGTTTTATACATGATTGAGGTGAATACTTCAGGTGCACTAAAGTTATAGCATCAAATAAACATATTCCGTATTACATATAGATGATCTAAAAATGAAGGGAAAAATAAGGGAATAAACAAAAGGTCCATCAATATAACTGTTTCTTTCATGTTTTGACATACAAACGTGCGTTCATATAACTGATTCACTGTAGTACCAGTCAGGGACGGATCCAAGATTTCGAGTCAAGGGGGCGAAAATTTTTGTTAGAGTAGCGGGTCATTTTTTTCACTGGTGTGGCGGGGTGATTTATTTTTGCTAGTGTAGCGGGCTGAATTTTTTCATCAGTGTAAGGCTCTGCGGTTATTTTTATTCAAAAAAATTCATTAGTACATACCCGACGACATTTAAATCTATATCTTTAATTTTATAATTGAAGAGCTCTAGAAAAAAAGTATCGATATATTAAATCGTAAGAAATGACAAATAAAAGGAAAATAATATGAAAATAAAATCGTAACATTTTATTTGAATATAAAGAGTTTATAAGGAACACATTCATCAATACTTTTAAAACAACTTCTACATTATTTAAATACATGAATCTTATAAAAATAAAGAACTGATTTTTAAATTACAATTTTTGTCTACCAAGGAGGGTGTTCATGAGTCATGGGGACTTTTCCTAATATTATAATCGTATGTATGAGATTATTATTTTTTGAATAATATTTTATTGGTAATTCATATATATAGTGCATATTGTATTTGTATTAATGCTAAAATAAGTTAAAGTTTATTATCTATGCAATAAAGTCTTTTTAGAACATAAGAAGTAATTTAATCTCAATAAACATTTATATTTTGGACTCACTTCAAATCGTTTGTAAACTGTGTGACTAGTGGGTCTGATATTTAATATCGTTTGTTATATATTTTACAAAAGAGTAAATTCCCTAAATAGGAGTAAATTTCTGCCAAGTTTGGCATTACTATGCTTTTAAACATGCCATTTTTTTTCAAACTTGGCAGATTACTCCTATTCAAGGAATAAAAAACATGATACTCCTATTTTGGAATTTCAAAATGTTTTTAACCCTATTTAGGGCAATTTCTATTTACAAAATTGAGTACTAGTTATCGAATAAAGATATTGAAACATTACTAAATTAAGAATTTTTATATAATAAGTATCATAAATCTTAAACAATGAGTTGTTCTATTGTTTATTTATTTAAGTTATGTAAATTATCCTAGGTGTTTCTTATTTTAAATCTCCAAGTAACTATTAAATTATGTAAGACTATAAATCAATTTTGAAAACTAAAAGTTAAGGGGACGAATCTAATAAAAGTATAAAATCTTAAGAAGTGAAAATTTTGAAAGTCTAAGGGACCGTAGCCACGGGCCCCCTTAAATCCATATCCTTGTACCAGTTACCAATGGTAGTGATAAATAAATGCATATTTGATTGATTGTGGCTGTACGTTACCTTGGGCTCTCCGTCGACGTGGATAATGGATCCATCAGAGTATGTGAAGATGGATCGGCCATTTCGAGCGCTGAACAGGATGGGCACGCCCCGACCAGAATCAGGGTTGAAGGCGTGAATGGTTTTGAAGCCGTACTTGTCAAGGATATCACGGACCTCCAGCTGATCCTGACCCCAGCCCACAAGGCTCGACTTGAAAACGTCGATCGGGCCCTTACCTCGCCGGTAAAGATGAATTTCCACTTCCGGCACCTTGGAGGGCGTGCTCGTTTGAGGGGTCGGAACTGGGTTAGAGATAAGCGGAACCGACTCACAACCGTCGTTGGTCTCTTCGATCTCTACCATATCCTTGCTCTCTTTGGAGTCGATGCTCTGATATCTACGGATCGGGAAATGCCATCAGGCCGTGTCATAGATCTAGAGGTCTAAATAGAGAAAAAAAAATTGAAGGACTCAAAAAACCGTATGTTAAATTGATGAAAATGATTTAAATATCTCATTTTTTTTTAATGAACGTGATATAATTATTCAAATTTTTTAATAATTCTTAAATAAATGCAACATGTTCTACTTAGATTATGTTTTATTTGTTAATGTATTAATATAATTTTTTGAAAAAAATTATGTTAAATTTGTCTCATTATAAATTTTCACAATCTGATTTTTTAAATTTTTTACTAATAGAGAATTATACTATCCTCCGTTCCATAAAAGTTGCAACAGTTTGACTTTCACGTTTGCCAACGCGCAACTTTGACTGTAATTATATTTATTTACGTATTAGTAACATTAAAAAAAGTTAATATATTGGAAATTTACATTAATACAAATTTATTAATATTTTATACATAATATTTTTATTATATATATTATTAGAAAATCGTAGTCAAAGTAAGGTGTGTGAATAGTGCAGAAATTCCAATGTCGCAACTTTTATGGAACGGAGGAAGTATATATTAACGGTCAAAGTTGTGTCTTGGCAAATGTGAACAGTTGACTGTTACACTTATTTAGGAATGGAGGAAGTATATATATACTTCAATTTTATACTTCCTCCGTTTCTAAAAGAAACTCACTGATGGATCGTCGGAACAGGGGTGGCCGGAATCCACCGAGAATAAGAGAAGAGAGGGAGAGAGTGAACTGGTTTGCAAGTCTTACGGTATAAAATTCAGAGTGCGATCAATTAAGCATTCATATCCACAAGTTGGAAGGTGATATTTAATATAAGGAGAAAAAAGGAAATACTTGGTGCCCAAGCAAAAAGATGCTAGTCTAATAGGAAGGGGGCACGTGTAAAGTTACTCTAACAAACTAACAACCTAATTCGATGGGGAGCAGCCACGTGTAAAGCTGATTGGAGAGAGTCTTCAACAACTGGCTAATTGGAGTGTGCTTCTAACAGAATTGCTGCCAGAAATCTCGTGTGGTTAAGCGTGGGTAATTGAGAATATTTCCTGGTGACGTGGCGATCTCTCCTTGAGGGGTAGATCCTTGCGTATTTTGTCTAAGTCCATGATGCTTTATCCAGACCTTGGGGTTTGCTGAGGTTGGTACCTGGGAGCTCGGGAGTTCGGGCTCGTGATGGGAGGACTCGCCTCCCAGGTGTTTGACTGCTTGATGCTTGACTGTCCTTGACCAACTGTTTGACTGTGGTTGACTTCCGGGCCATACCTGGTCCCGACCTCGGATGCATCGAGGTCGGGCTCATAAGTTGCTGAGTTCGGTTGATCCCTGAGCCTGATGTCTTCCCAACCTCGGGGTCGGGGTCGGGCTCTGCAAGCCTTGTCATTCGTTGAGTTCGATTGATTCCTGAGCTTGGTGTTTTCCCGACCTCGGCAGTCGGGGTCAGCCTTGGGGTGTGGACTTTAATATTTTGCGTACTTCAGAATGCGTCTGTGATACTTTATACCGGTGATTATGATACCCCTGGGGTATACGGGAATATACTCCATCATGAGCCCCCACTCTCCGAAGCGAAAGTGAAACTTGAGGTGAGAGAGAGTAAATCTTCAATTTCCTGGGCATGTTCGCCCGGCAGGGGTGCTGCTCTTCCATGGTCATGATAAAGGGGTACCTCATTAAAAACTCCGCTGAGGAAAAAACCCTGTGGGAAAAAATCCTAACGGAAGAAAAAGAGTATACTCCGCTTTGCCATGAAGTCCGGAGACGAAAGCGACGCCCCGCTGCAGAGAAGTCCGAGCTCGAGCTTCGTGTATTCTGCGTTCCAAACCTGCCTCATGGGTTAGTTGCTACGTCCGCGGCCCCGGCCGCGGGTTGATAACATTTTTGAAAAAAATGTAAGGAATTTTAATCTATGTGCGAAGCTTGAAGATATACATGTTCGGTGCTGAGCCCGAGGTGGCTACGTTGTTCTGAGCTTGTTTGTTGTAGTCTTGTTTTTGCTACGTTTTGATTTCTTTCCCGAGTTCCCCACTTACCAGTCCCCCACTCTTGTGGACTTAGAATATTTTCTAAGTGCGGAAGAGTATGAGTTTGAGGGGGACGAGGCAGTTGCATTTATCGCTTGGTGGACTTAGGAGAATTTGTGGCGTGTAGTAACGCTAATGTGTACAAATATTAATCTTTACACATTCCTTTTGCAACATTATGATTAATAGCCGATTCTCAACATTTAATGCGAGGGATGGCGTTTGAAGTGACAGTACGGCGCCATCATTGCGCCTTTTTACACGCCTTTTTGAAAAAACCTTTGAGTTTTTGGGCGGCTGGAGAGTATTGCGCCACGTGTAAGCTTCCCGTTCATTTTTGAAGGGAAGTATAAAAGGCGAAAGCTTTCGTCTTTCTCCTTTGCGCTTTCTTTTGTATTCGAGTTTTCAAAGTTTTCAAGCATTTCAAGAGCTCGTCTTCTCCGGTCATTGCTTGCGAAGTTTCAGTTTCCTCCGTCGACTCCCCCCAACCAGGTTAGTCTCCGGCTCTATTTGCTCGTTCTTCGCCTATCGTAGTTTGGTCGGAAGAAACCCAGAATAAGGGTTTTTTCGTCAATTGTGGCTCTGTGAACAATGGGGGGTTTACAGTCCCCCATTCTTGATGAGGTTGGCACCTCTGGACTCGGAATCGCATGTTGATGCCGATTCGAGTGTTTAATTTTTGTTTGGAGGTCTGACTATTGGTCCTTAACCCCGGAGTTTGACTGTCTGCATGTAAGTGTGTTTTTCTGCAGATTTTGAAAAATGTCTTCCCAAAGTGTTTCTGCTAACACCGGGGACAGGGCTAGCAATGATCTACCACTGGGATACGACGATGCTGCTGCCCTGAGGGAGGCTGGTCTCGCCGATGACCTTGCGGATGCGACCTCCGCCCTTGAAGCTGTGCCCTTGAACGCGCGGCCGGGCCGTAGGGCGCCTGCCAAGAAGAACGCCAAGGGTAATCACGAATTTTTTACTTTGGATGGTTTTACCGCTTCCGCAACTGCTTGTTCCCTGTCCGATAGGGAGTGGGATGAAGTGAGGCGCTTCTGCGGGTCTAGTGTTGTCGTGATGAGGCCGGATGCAGGTGAGCTGCCTTCCTCTTGCCCCACGGGGTTCTTCGTTGTTTACTACGACGCTGTCAAGCACGGTTTCAGATTCCCCCTTCATCCGTTCTATGCTGAGTACTTGGACTGGGTCGGCTTGCTTCCCTGCCAACTCACCCCAAATGGGTTCAACTATATCGCCGCTTTCCTCATGCGCTATTTGGGATCAAATATTGCTCCCACTGTGGGTCTTTTATGTTGCTTGTTTAACATTGGCCGCAACCCCTCGAAGGGTAACCAGAGCTATGCCTCCATAGCCCAGGTTGGGGGCCACGGTGGTTTCACCGACGCCCCGACCTCGCACCGTGGGTGGAAGGACAGGTTCTTCTATGTCTGTACGAATCGTCAGGCAGAGTCGGCAGTGTCCCCGTTTTCCACCGATGCCCAGATCCTCACTCGGGAGTCAGTGATTGCTCGCAAGCACAATGCAAGTGATCTGGGCGAGTATGCCGATGATGTGAAGAAGTATTTAAAGCTCGGTCAGAGCGAAATCGGAAAATTTGTTACCGAGAAGAGGATCAGGGAGGTCCTGAAATGCACTAGCTTCTCGCCCTTGGCGGTGTTGGGTGACGAATGTGCGGTTGCTGCTGCTGCCCCTGTTGCGGACGAGGGGGAGGAGAACGTAGCTCCTCCTTCAGCAGTTCCAGCGATAGAGGGCCCGGTGCCCGGGTTTGGGGTTGTTGCTCCGCCGGATTCTGAGGAGGATGAGGAGGACGGGGCTGCCATCCTATCTAAGGAGAGGGTTGAGCAAGTGGACCAGATTCCAAATCAAGCTGCTACCCAGCCTGAGGCTCGTGCTGCCCCTCCTGGTACGTATATCCCCTCTGTTGTGATTTCTACGTGGCCATCTAATTTGTAATTCTTGCCTTGGGGCTTCACTGATGTTGATCCTTCTTTGTTCACAGGTTGTCCGAACATATTTTCTCTTTTGGACCGGGTCCAAAGGGAATTCGCTCGGAAGGAGCAATCTCCGTCCTCCTCTAGTGGGTCCTCCTCCTCTTCTGAGGAAAGTGACGAGGAAGTCGCGGGTTCTGCACGTGATTCCCCGGTCGGTTGATACTGGTCTCCCTACTGTTGCTGCCGAGGCGGCTCGTGATCCTCATATGGGTGAGGTGAAGGCCACTGCAGGTGATCAATATGATGCTGGTCAGAGTGCCACCCCGGGCTCCCCCTGCCAGGATACAGTCGCCAGTGGGGATGCCAGGGTGGATGACATGGACGTGGATATCCCAGCTGCCGTTCCCCAAAATAATGCTGAGCCTGATAGCATACCCGTCTCCTCCCAACCAAATGTAGTGGTTGTGGAGAGTGATAGTGAAGGCGAGGAGCTGCAGCATGAGCAGGTCCATTTGCCCCCTGGAGGTGGTGGGGCCACTCCATCGGCAGATCCACATGTGGAGGGGGCGGTTAGGCTGGTCCTTCTAGTCACCATGATGCTGATTGCCACATTTTTCCCAGCTGTCGCTCATACCCCAATCCGGATAATCAGTGGTTCAAGTACCGCATGGATCAGGACCACAGCTTCGTCGGTGGAATCGTTCATAGCATGGATTTCCTTTCACAGATCCGGCCTTATGCAGATGACTTCATTTTGAGCTGGATGACCACCAGGGAAATGGCTGAGGATGCTGCTAACTCCTGTCTCAAGGTCAGTGATTCTTCCCTTTGTTTGTCGCTTCTTTTGTCGCGTTCCTTTGGCTATTGTCTGACCGTGCCTTTTTGTTATGCAGTCTGCTTTTATATGTCACGAACTTGGCTGCAGGGCTGATGATGCGGAGCACCGGGCTCGCCAAGCAGGAAGGAGGGAGGCCGATATTCTGCACACCAGGTCCCTTGTTGAGCAAGCTCTCAGAATCTCTGAGAAGCATGCCAACGAATTGGAGGCCACTGCCGACCGGGCCCTCAAACAAATCGCGTAGTTCAGCGAGATGCTTGATGA